TATGGTCAAAAAGGGATGGGATACTCGGGGAGGTCCATAGAAACCGCCAAGATCGACGGCAAAGTTATGTCGCTTTGAAACGTCATATCTCCATGATTTTTTTAGATCGGCGGAGTTATGTCGCTTCAAAACGACATAACTACCCCGAAAACTTTAAATGGCTATATCTCGGCCAAATAAAACCCGATAGGGGCCAAAAAGGGAGGGGCTACTCGGGGAGGTCCGTAGAATCCGCCAAGATCGACGGCGAAGTTATGTCGCTTTGAAACGTCATATCTCCATGATTTTTTTAGATCGGCGGAGTTATGTCGCTTCAAAACGACATAACTACCCCGAAAACTTTAAATGGCTATATCTCGGCCAAATAAAGCCCGATAGGGGTCAAAAAGGGATGGGATACTCGGGGAGGTCCATAGAAACCGCCAAGATCGACGGCGAAGTTATGTCGCTTTGAAACGTCATATCTCCATGATTTTTTTAGATTGGCGGAGTTATGTCGCTTCAAAACGACATAACTCCGCCGCTGATCATGGCGAGATTATGTCGTTCTGCATTTTTTTTTATGTGAACAGCTCGAAAGTATGCAATGCTTTGCGTTACTTCTATGTCACACAACCACACGAATTTTTTGGAAAAACTTTAAATGTTCATATCTCGGCCAAATAAAGCCCGATTATGGTCAAAAAGGGATGGGATACTCGGGGAGGTCCATAGAAACCGCCAAGATCGACGGCGAAGTTATGTCGCTTTGAAACGTCATATCTCCATGATTTTTTTAGATCGGCGGAGTTATGTCGCTTCAAAACGACATAACTACCCCGAAAACTTTAAATGGCTATATCTCGGCCAAATAAAGCCCGATAGGGGCCAAAAAGGGAGGGGCTACTCGGGGAGGTCCGTAGAATCCGCCAAGATCGACGGCGAAGTTATATCTCGGCCAAATAAAGCCCGATAGGGGCCAAAAAGGGAGGGGCTACTCGGGGAGGTCCGTAGAATCCGCCAAGATCGACGGCGAAGTTATGTCGCTTTGAAACGTCATATCTCCATGATTTTTTTAGATCGGCGGAGTTATGTCGCTTCAAAACGACATAACTACCCCGAAAACTTTAAATGGCTATATCTCGGCCAAATAAATCCCGATAGGGGTCAAAAAGGGATGGAATACTCTGGGAGGTCCATAGAAACCGCCAAGATCGACGGCGAAGTTATGTCGCTTTGAAACGTCATATCTCCATGATTTTTTTAGATCGGCAGAGTTATGTCGCTTCAAAACGACATAACTACCCCGGAAACTTTAAATGGCTATATCTCGGCCAAATAAAGCCCGATAGGGGCCAAAAAGGGAGGGGCTACTCGGGGAGGTCCGTAGAATCCGCCAAAATCGACTTCGAAGTTATGTCGCTTTGAAACGTCATATCTCCATGATTTTTTAGATCGGCGGAGTTATGTCGCTTCAAAACGACATAACTACCCCGAAAACTTTAAATGGTAATATCTCGGCCAAATAAAGCCCGATAGGGGCCAAAAAGGGATGGGCTACTCGGGGAGGTCCGTAGAATCCGCCAAGATCGACGGCGAAGTTATGTCGCTTTGAAACGTCATATCTCCATGATTTTTTAGATCGGCGGAGTTATGTCGCTTCAAAACGACATAACTCCGCCGCTGATCATGGCGAGATTATGTCGTTCTGCATTATTTTTTATGTGAACAGCTCGAAAGTATGCAATGCTTTGCGTTACTTCTATGTCACACAACCACACGAATTTTTTGGAAAAACTTTAAATGTTCATATCTCGGCCAAATAAAGCCCGATTATGGTCAAAAAGGGATGGGATACTCGGGAGGTCCATAGAAATCGCCAAGATCGACGGCGAAGTTATGTCGCTTTGAAACGTCATATCTCCATGATTTTTTAGATCGGCGGAGTTATGTCGCTTCAAAACGACATAACTACCCCGAAAACTTTAAATGGTAATATCTCGGCCAAATAAAGCCCGATAGGGGCCAAAAAGGGAGGGGCTAGTCGGGGAGGTCCGTAGAATCCGCCAAGATCGACGGCGAAGTTATGTCGCTTTGAAATGTCATATCTCCATGATTTTTTTAGATCGGCGGAGTTATGTCGCTTCAAAACGACATAACTACCCCGAAAACTTTAAATGGCTATATCTCGGCCAAATAAAGCCCGATAGGGGCCAAAAAGGGAGGGGCTACTCGGGGAGGTCCGTAGAATCCGGTAAGATCGACGGCGAAGTTATGTCGCTTTGAAACGTCATATCTCCATGATTTTTTTAGATCGTCGGAGCTATGTCGCTTCAAAACGACATAACTACCCCGAAAACTTTAAATGGCTATATCTCGACCAAATAAAGCCCGATAGGGGCCAAAAAGGGAGGGGCTACTCGGGGAGGTCCGTAGAATCCGGCAAGATCGACGGCGAAGTTATGTCGCTTTGAAACGTCATATCTCCATGATTTTTTTAGATCGGCGGAGTTATGTTGCTTCAAAACGACATAACTACCCCGAAAACTTTAAATGGCTATATCTCGGCCAAATAAAGCCCGATAGGGGCCAAAAAGGGAGGGGCTACTCGGGGAGGTCCGTAGAATCCGCCAAGATCGACGGCGAAGTTATATCTCGGCCAAATAAAGCCCGATAGGGGCCAAAAAGGGAGGGGCTACTCGGGGAGGTCCGTAGAATCCGCCAAGATCGACGGCGAAGTTATATCTCGGCCAAATAAAGCCCGATAGGGGCCAAAAAGGGAGGGGCTACTCGGGGAGGTCCGTAGAATCCGGTAAGATCGACGGCGAAGTTATGTCGCTTTGAAACGTCATATCTCCATGATTTTTTTAGATCGTCGGAGCTATGTCGCTTCAAAACGACATAACTATCCCGAAAACTTTAAATGGCTATATCTCGGCCAAATAAATCCCGATAGGGGTCAAAAAGGGATGGAATACTCTGGGAGGTCCATAGAAACCGCCAAGATCGACGGCGAAGTTATGTCGCTTTGAAACGTCATATCTCCATGATTTTTTTAGATCGGCAGAGTTATGTCGCTTCAAAACGACATAACTACCCCGGAAACTTTAAATGGCTATATCTCGACCAAATAAAGCCCGATAGGGGCCAAAAAGGGAGGGGCTACTCGGGGAGGTCCGTAGAATCCGCCAAGATCGACGGCGAAGTTATGTCGCTTTGAAACGTCATATCTCCATGATTTTTTTAGATCGGCGGAGTTATGTCGCTTCAAAACGACATAACTCCGCCGCTGATCATGGCGAGATTATGTCGTTCTGCATTATTTTTTATGTGAACAGCTCGAAAGTATGCAATGCTTTGCGTAACTTCTATGTCACACAACCACACGAATTTTTTGGAAAAACTTTAAATGTTCATATCTCGGCCAAATAAAGCCCGATTATGGTCAAAAAGGGATGGGATACTCGGGAGGTCCATAGAAACCGCCAAGATCGACGGCGAAGTTATGTCGCTTTGAAACGTCATATCTCCATGATTTTTTTAGATCGGCGGAGTTATGTCGCTTCAAAACGACATAACTACCCCGAAAACTTTAAATGGTAATATCTCGGCCAAATAAAGCCCGATAGGGGCCAAAAAGGGAGGGGCTACTCGGGGAGGTCCGTAGAATCCGCCAAGATCGACGGCGAAGTTATATCTCGACCAAATAAAGCCCGATAGGGGCCAAAAAGGGAGGGGCTACTCGGGGAGGTCCGTAGAATCTGCCAAGATCGACGGCGAAGTTATGTCGCTTTGAAACGTCATATCTCCATGATTTTTTTAGATCGGTGGAGTAATGTCGCTTCAAAACGACATAACTACCCCGAAAACTTTAAATGGCTATATTTCGGTCAAATAAAGTCCGATAGGGGCCAAAAAGGGAGGGGCCACTTGGGGAGGTCCGTAGAATCCGCCAAGATCGACGGCGAAGTTATGTCGCTTTGAAACGTCATATCTCCATGATTTTTTTAGATCGGCGGAGTTATGTCGCTTCAAAACGACATAACTACCCCGAAAACTTTAAATAGCTATATCTCGGCCAAATGAAGCCCGATAGGGGCCAAAAAGGGAGGGGCCACTTGGGGAGGTCCGTAGAATCCGCCAAGATCGACGGCGAAGTTATGTCGCTTTGGAACGTCATATCTCCATGATTTTTGTAGATCGGCGGAGTTATGTCGCTTCAAAACGACATAACTACCCCGAAAACTTTAAATAGCTATATCTCGGCCAAATGAAGCCCGATAGACGGCAGATTGGGAGGGGATACTCACGGAGGTCCGTAGAATGGAATGCCATCAAGGTTTTTCGATTTCCGAAAAAAGCCATTTATCTGACTGATATGCCAATCGATAGCAGAGATCAGCACGAGTTCAAAAAGGTCTATCTTTCGGAAATCGGACCATTATTAGACAAATTATGGCAAAAAAACGAAAGAAACTTCAAAGTTGTAACGGCATATTTTCGACGTCAGCACGAAACTATGCAATATAATGCTTTACTACTAAAATTCTACTAAAATCAATTAGCTGAAAACGCCCGACCTGCGTGGTAGACTGGATACATGGAATAAGAAATACGTATGTTTTTTGAAAAACTCTAAATGGCTATATCTCGTCATTCACTCAATTTCATTCACGACAATCCTGTGTTATTTCGACAGCCAAGAACAATTTCATGCTCAACCAAGCTTAGTTGTTTTCATTTGGCATTTTCCGAGGCGATTTTCATGGCATTTTCCTCGCATATCGCTGGCCAATGGAATAAGGTGTCAATTTTTGTTCGCTCCGCATTTTTGCGTGCTGGGTGTTAATCGCTGGACCACTTACCGTGCCTATAAGGGCCGCAGGGCCAATACAAGTTTACGCTAGATTAAGCAGGATATATGGTTATGTGTGCGCGCGTGTGTGTGTGTGAGCGAGGGTGGGGGACACGCCTTTTTGTTGCTGAGCGCTGGCAGGCGGAAAGGAAAAACAGTTTGCGGCTTTTGTGGCATTTTTCAACATTACATTTTTGCAGATGTTTTGCTTTTTAGTTTATTTTAGCCTTGCACATAAAACAGAGGACCTTAAAGTTGGATTTAAATATTTCTATATATTTATATATATAGCATATATATATAGTATTTATTTGCTAACTGTATTGTACTTATGCACGATCTGTATCAGTATTTAATATTGATAACATACGCAACTGCAACTGCGCTACAATTTATTTGTAAGTAGTTTATCTTTAGGGTTTTCTTCTCTTTATTTAATTTTATATTATAATATATTTTATTTTTATTTGTTTGAAACGCATTCAGAAATCAGTTTCAGTTTCCGTTTGATTCGTTATTCGAAAATGCGCGCAAAATTTGTCACCGTAGCGTTCCGTTGCGAATTTACATCAGAGTTTTTCACATACATCCATATATATAGTATATTGGGTTGGGAGAGAATCTACATTTAATGCATGCTTGAAATGCACTCGAAGTTGTTATTTACAAAATTGTGTTAATTTTTTTAAAACTTTTTTTTGGGGATAGTTTCGTTTTTGGAATATTTTAATACTTTTACGATAGTTCGTAATAGATACGCAGCGCATTTCAGATGCTTACAAAAATAAATTCAACACATTCAAGTACAACAAACATATATATCTTACTGTCTAAATGCCGCATATCGGTATATATGGTATATATCAAAGATGCATGAACTATATTTAGGGTTTAGTTAATATATATTTATATCAATATATTCATTTAGGAGCAGAGTTTTTAGTTTTTCGTATCGTACAAATAAATACCTTTGGGTTAACGAGTGTGTTTAAGATTAACGAACAAACCAACATAAAAAAAAAAAAATATTAATAATGCGTAGACGAAAAGAAAAACTCAAGCACTGGAGAAAAGCTGTTGCGACTTTTCAAATGAAGCGCCTTCTTATCCGCTTGATTTCAGTTTCGGTTACAGTTTCGCTGGGGCAGGGCTACAAGTGGGCCAATATATCGATCTGGTCGATGGCTGACTGAGATGATGTTGGCACCTGGCCCTGTGCCTGAGCCCTTCCACCTGACTGCACGTTGAGGCCGCCGCCGCTGTTGGCCTGGGATATGGTCACAATGGTTACCAGGTCTTTGGCCTTGGTCGCCGTCGTCGTCGACGTCGGACTCTCCTGGCTTTGGCTGCGATTCCTGGACTCGATTTCGACAATGGCCGAGGTGAGCAATGTGTTGGACTGCAGCGCACTGTAGTCGGGCAATTGCTCCGGCGATAACTCTGGCAGATCCTCATTGGCTAGCAGCCGGCCCGAAGGCGCTGTCTCAATGGTCCGTTCGCAGCTGGCCAGCGTCAGCGAGGCGGGCGTCGCATTCCGGCTGCGATAACTCGGCGGCAGGCTGTACTCGGAGCCGCCCACGCTGCTGCTAATGGTGCCTCCACCACCACCGCCTATGCCCGAGCGTAGTGTGGTCAGCGGTGCCCTGCAATCGTAGGAAACAAAGTATATTAGTTGGGCTTTCAGTAAGTTATAGATTGAGACTAAAGCTGGAGTCAGACTTGGGCAACTTGGTCTGTCAGAACAGATTTTTAATTCTGATAAATAAAGTATAATTTAATTATATAGAGTCCGACTCTGAGTCTGCTCGATTCTATTGGCCAAATAATCTGTCTGTCAGACAGGCCATAACCTTAGATTGAGTTGTGAGTTGCAGGAAAACAAATGCATGCATTATTTGCGCAGCGGCTGACATGAGACAAAGTCAATGCACAAATTTGCATGTGGCAGTCGAAGTATCTAGATACATTTCTGTGTATCTAGCAGATGAATGAAAGACCGTTCGGTGTGCAGACGACTTGCTCAATTTAAATAACAAAAGGCGTTCGGCCAATTGTTGCCAGTCGCTGCATTGCTCGGACTACCCAAATTCAACAGAATTCACACTTCAGTCAACAGGAGAAGCCAAGCCGACAACAAAGACAACGAATTATAGACATGGAAAATTGGTCGGTCGGCTTTTAGCAAAAATTCAAATTTTCAAAATTGTATAAAGCAATTTGGAGTATGTAAAATTGCATTTAATTGTTGCCGACAAAGATTCAATGCGAAAGGAAATGCGAAATACTTGAATACTAAGTAAGCAGCAAGGACGAAAACTTTACTCTCTCTCTCTCTCTCTCTCTTTCTATCTATCTATCTCTATATTTCTGTGCTGGCATAACAGGCAATTTTCACAGGCAGTCGACTCCTCTTGGGCCTCGTCTTTGTTTGTTTAATTGACTTGGCTAACAGCTTCGCCAGGCAATTGTTTGCCTTCTCTATGCTGGCCCTAATCCTTGCCAGGCCCGGCTGCCTGTCGCAGATTGCCTTTTAACACACGCCTGCTTGTTATGCAACAGAGCATCACTTCAAGTATGTCCGTGTGTGTGCGCGCGTGTGTGTGCGCGTGTGTGTAAATATTTTGCAAAATTTCACAGATTTCTTTGTTAGTTCTTACATCATATTTGAATATGTCATCACGCACACGCGCACACACACACACACGCACACTCACTCACAGAAACCGGGCCTGTCCAAAAGTATGCTCTGATTCCCTGCCACACACATTTTGCATAAGTTTTTGCTTTTTGACATACTTCTTTGTCACTTTCTGCACCCTCTACGAGGCTCTATGCAGCGGGCATATTAACATAGCAGACATACGACTGGCGCTAGAAATCTGCTCTTTCTATTTCAGAATTTCACTTTTGTTAACTTTAGAATAAAATTCTTATTTCAAGAACCTTTGCACTAGATGTAAATGTCAAATGACAAGACTTAATACATAACGAAATAAAATGAATTGTGCTTTTATCGAGAACATTTTACGCCTATTTCAAGCATGTAAATTCTTTACAGCAAAGTTGTCTTTAAAGAATATTTTGCTTAATTTAAGAATATTAAGGTTTAAAATCAATTTAGAAACACGGCAAAGATTCTATTCCTTTCAAATATGAACATGCAAATGCTTGTAATAAATATTTTGAGCTCAAACCAAGTATACTTTTTTAAAGAAATATCATACTTAATTTAAGTATATTTTATGGAAGTAATATTCATACTTTATTAAAGTTTATTTGGTCGAATTGAGTTCAAAATGATAAGCACAGCACGACAAGAAAATTCTTCAAGTAAATACTTGAATTAAGAAAGACGTTTTACATGAACTTCAGTTTTATTCTTACTTTAAGTAATATATAGTTATAAAACGTCTTCAGCACATGATTTTTTAGCTACTTTTGGGACAATAAAAAGGAGTCAAGTAAAATGTGTCGTATCTGAAAGTCTTTCATAGCCCTTACATCTCGCATTCTCAATTGTTTTCCACTTCTTTTGCTTTTCCTGGCCAGCTAAGCTGCTTATGTGTATTACTCAGCCATCTTCTTCTTCTTGCTGTTGTTCTTATTGTTGTCCCTTCATTTCCATTATTGGACATAAATATTTAAGTGCATGTGGCCTTGTGCGTCATTAAAAGCAAATTAATTTGCCATAAATTTGCATTTGTCTGTTGAATACATCCATGAGTACTCACAAGTACTCAACACTCAGAACTCGCACTCGTTTTTTCGGGCAGTGTTTAGCAGCGCGTGAATTTACGGCTTTGGTCGCAACTCAATATTTTTGTGCGGCAATAAAAAGTAAACTTTTCTAATTAGCAGCCATTATGCGATCAAAGCGGCAATTATCCTGCCGAGTCAGAGTCCTATACTCTCTCTTTCTCGCTCTCTCTCTCTCTCTCTCTCTCTCTCTCTCAATCTCTGTCTCCCTGCCTCTCTTCTCGCTTCTCATTGCTTTGGCGCCCCATTTTGTTGTCGTTGTCGGCGTCATTTCAATTGTTTCAATTTGCTCCTTGCTTGCCCCCCCACCATCTCTTTCTTTCTAGTCTAGTCTGCCCTATTTCTCTTCTGCTGCTTGGAGTGCTCGGCAATTGGATTGTAGCGCATTTAAATTGTTTGCCATTTTGGGCACCCGTTTGAAGTAGTCGCTCGGCGCTCAATTCAATTAAGTTGCAAATTCCTCACTGACGCCCACTCGAAATCAAGCAAAAATCATTTGTGCCAACAACAACAACAGCAACAGCAGCAACAAATAAAACCATTGACAGGCTTCTAAAGTTTCTGGCTTAAAAAATGGCCAAAAGTTTTTGTGGGCCAACCCCAAGCAATGTGTCAAATGTTGTTGCTGCTGTTGCTTTTGGCGCCCACCGAAAACCGCACAAAGCCAAACCGCTGACGCTTCAGCTGATGCTGCAACACCAACCACCCGCTCCTATCCTCTGTTCCCGGCACCACACTCGGCCGCAAGCAACCCTCACGCGTTCCTATTCCGACCTCGAACTGTGCGTTGTAAACATTTTGTGGTTGCAGCGCCAAACTTTACAAATAACTCACGAGGGGTGTCGAACACGCGGCAAATTCCCAAATGAGCCGGGGGCGTAGCAAGGGCGGGGGTGTGGGTTAGTGGGGAAATGGAAGCGAACACTTACCTGAGCAAGCTGCCGGCATGAGATCGATAGGTGGGCGGCGGTGAATTGCCACGCACCACCCCGTTCTGGCGATCGCGGTCCAAAAGCAAAAGTCTGAAAAAAAAAAACATATAAAACATGGATTAAATTGAAATTAAATTAATAATAAAAAATAACAGAAGTAGAGGGGCAAGAAGTTAAACTGAACAGTTTGGCGCATGTTCTTCTTAAGCCCCTCACTAAAAAATACAGTTCCTGAATAACTTCGCTGTTTATTGTCCGATCTTAAAGAAATTTTCAGGGATTCAATATAATATACAAATGTGTATGAATACCAATGCCCAAGTCTAAGCCCCTCAAAGTGACCTTTCTTCTAGTTTTCTTTATTTTCTTCTTTTCAAAGGGAGATATTGTAAATGTGAAATATTGTGGGTCTCTCTTTATTTTGCTCTCTTTCATTTGCAACATCCTAAATTTGTTAGCTTTGACCTCGATATATGATAAATGTCATTAAAATGCAGACAGTTGTTGATTTACTACGAGTTTTTGCACAATAGAAAGAGCTACTTTAACAATTTCAAACCTTTAACTGTTATAGTCTCCGAGATCGATCATAGAGACAGCAAAACAGACAGGCAGACGGATAAACGGACAGATCTGGCCAGATCGATGTGGCTGGTTCAAGAATATGTGTATATGCTTTATGGCTTCAGATATGCTTTATGGCTTGACTGTTATACACACTCGCACGAGCCACTCACATTCTGTTTTGCACAATTTCAATGAGTTCAGGGTTCGGGTTGCAAAAATAAAACAAGAGACCAGGACATTTTCAGGCAGTGCATAATTACATAATGCAATTAATTGCGCAAGGACATGCAAACGGATGCGGTTAGCCGAGCATGTCTGCCGTTGTCCGCACACACACACACACACCCCACCCCCTATTCACCCATACTCACCTCAGACGATACTCCTGCATGCTGGCCTGGTAGGAGGGCGGCGGCGGGCGGTGCTGAAACTCCGGATAGAGCAGTCCGTGGGGCGCGCCGCCGCCACGGGTGCACGGACGTCGGCCACAGCGGGCCAAATCGACGGTGGTGCCCAGCCCAAGGCAACTTTGGCCGCCACCGGGCGCTGTCATCCGCCAAGCGGCGCCGCTGACAGTGACCAGCACAACACCGACTCCTGCAGAGAAACGCACACAGAGAGAAAAAGTTGAGTTAGTTGGCAAAGCAATGCAAAAAAAAAACATGACTCAAAATAAGCGTCCAATTAAGTGTACGCCAATTTAATTAGACGTCAAACGCGCTGCGTGGGCGTGGCGCGCAATTACCAGCCCACTTATAATAAAGTGAGGGGGTGGGAGGGGGAGTGGGCGGTGGTGGGTTGAGCTGCAGTGGTCAATCTTCAGCCAGTGGGGGCACAGCGTCCACTTTCACTTTTTTGCCAACCGCTGCAAATCGAGAGGCTTTTCCTTTTGACAAGCGACAGCTGCATGTGGCGCGGCCTGCGGCCACTGGAGCGTGACATGACCAAGTCACCCCACCCCCCCCTCACCGCTCTTCCATCCTCCTCCACAAAGTGCAAGACAAATCACGGTCTGAGCCTAAAGCTGCGACCGGTAGCTGATTAAGGCCCACAGATAAATAGAGGTAGGCATCTTTTTTATTAGACAAAATTGTTGTCGTTTTGCCGTTGTTGTTGTTGTTGTCGCACATTTTCATGAGCAATTTGCGCTTCAAAAAAGCTGAACGTAAAAATAAAAAAGCGACTGCAATTTGTGCGTTTGTTATGAGCGTGACAAGTCGTCTGTATGCCAGGGGCAGGGGCTGTCTCCATTGGAGGCGACATGTGTGTCTGTGTGTGTGTGTGTGTGCAGTTAGTTGTTGCCTCCGCCTTGATTGCCATTAAATTATGTAAAACTTTGCGTTACAAGTCAACAATTTTTGGTAATTGCCGACAGAAAATGGCGCAATGTCACGCTTCGAGTGGCCCCAACTAAAATGAGCGAACCGGCAATTGATTAGAGCCCCGCATACATAAGTAATGCCCACAGACCCAGACCCAGACCCAGACCCAGACCCCGAGCCAGATCGAGAGACGGCGCGTAGTTGGAACTTGGCCCCGCTTTCTTGTTACGTGAGCTGCGCGAAAAGCGAATGAGAACCCAATGAGTGACTCATGAGTGTGTGTGCCCAAAACTCGTATGATTCAATCACAAGTGCGTTGCAAACTACTCAGCCAAATGGCATTAAATTCTACACAATTTAAGTTGAGTTTGAAGAAAAACCATTCTAAGCTTTGAGAGCGAGCGAAAGCTGTAAAGTTGCATTCGATTCGATTCACATGCAAACAGGAGAACCTATTTATATGATGTATATATATACATATATATATATTTTAGGATTCCTTTAGCAAAATCAGCTTAATGGCTTGAAGGTCTAATCCCAAATCACTTCTGGACTTCCTCATTCGCTTTACACAGCTTGGATAGGTTTCACCTGGTTAATCGGATCTAAGAGGGTAAGTTTGTCATGAAATGTGTAACTCGTTGAAAATACATCTCCGATCACCTGAAGTATATATATTCCAGATCAGCATCAACAGCCGAGTTGACATAGCCATAACCTTCTCTCCATCCGTTCGTCTCTCTGTTTCTATGCAAACTAATATCTCAGGTTTAAATCTATTCTTCTGAAACTTTGCATAGGAAATTCCTTTCTATTGCCGGATCGCACCACTGTATCATATATGTATGTTAGCTGTCATTTCAGTAAACCTAAAGCAACCTCGACATTTATTACGCTTCCTTTATTAGTTTTCTCCTTATATATATGCACAATCCCATCAACATCGGAGTACTATATCGAGTAGCTGCCATAGGAAAACTTTACTTCAACGACATATCTGCAAGTGCATAAACAGAAACAATCAAAAAAAAAACCACAGCCACATTTATTTGCAATTAAAATACTTGACTCTTACGTATCTCTGGCATTTTGTTTGGCAGCTTGAAAATATATTATTTTCTACTCATTTTAAAATGCAATTGTGCTTAAGTTCTTAAGAGCAGTTTACTTTTACAATCTAGCCCACACTTCATGTTTAAACATAGATCTCGGCGTATTTACCACAGATCTGTCTGGAGGATAGGCCACCCACACAAACACACAATGCCAATATTTATTTACCAACTATCTGGGGCTGATAAAACTTGTAGCCGGAACTAAATGCTCTCTCTCTCTCTCTCTCTATCTATCTACCTCTCTCTGCCAATATTGACACATTTTGTGTCTTTACAAAATTTGTTTGTTCTTCGAACTGGGTCAGGCAGAGACGCGCCCATTACAAAAGGGCAACAGAAAAAACCCAAAGCCTGTTATAATTGTAGAAATTGCTGTGTGAGGCAACAGCAACAACAACGACAACAACAAATGCACAGACAAGAGACATTAACAATAACAGCAAAAGCAACAACAACAAATTGTGTAAACATCGCGAAAAGGCAACATTTTAATGCCATTTTTGTGTGACCCCATCGAACAATTGTTCGACTCGTGCTTATATGGACTATAAACGAGTGTGCACACACACTGCTTCACTGTGATGTAATCGACTTGAGATACTCTCTACTTACCAATCATTAGCAGCGCGGCGGTCAGATGCGAATTTGGCGGTCCAGCGAGACCCGTGGCGCCCAGCGCAGCGCCGCCGAGGGCGCAGGCCACGCCCCCGAGCGCAACAACAGCAATGAGAGCGCGCAGCGGCGGTCCAGCAAACCATTGGCCACAACAGCCCTTGCCGGAACGCTCCGAGGGGGATCTGCAAATAATCAAGAATTTCTTTTGTTAGTTTTTCAGCTGCAGCTGGTGGCACAAATTTTTGGTATAACAATTTTCCGGAGCGCATTTTAACCGAGTGTGCAGGTGGGCCAGCAGCAGATGAATGGACAGGGTCAGGAACAGAGACAGGGACAGGGTCAGAACCAACGCAACTGGCAGCTGTTTTGTTTCGTGGCGCGTGCAAATTGGTTGTGGCAAGGACAACGTCGGCGGAGGCAACAAAAGCGCAGCGCGAAGACACTGCGAGCTGCGAGACACAATTGTTGTAATGTTTTTGATTTATGAGCTGAAAGACCAAAATTTGCGCACCGAACACAATAAAACAGGCAAAGGAGACGACCAGACGATGACGACGACGACGACAATGAGGATGAGTATGACGTTCAGGATATGAATGAGCGGGAGGATGCGGATGCGGATGGCCAACAGCGTAGAATATTTTGCGCATTTGCCATTTGGCGAAACAGGGAGAAAAAAAGGCAGCAAGGACAATTTATGTGACGCAGACGCTGCAGGAACAGCACCAAAGACAACGCTGCACAGTGGGTTAGAAGCGCTTGAAAAATAATGAAAAATATCTATTGAATAAATAAAAGCCTTCGGCAAACAGATACCGCTGCACAGTGGCCTAGAAGTGGTGAAAATTTGTGTATATTTAATTATAAAAAAATATATATAACAATATAATTCGGCAATATACAATTTAAAGATACAAGAACGTAAGCTATGCCTGTTTACTTTATATAAATCAGCACTGCAAAGCGGACTAATGACGCTTAAAGCATGTTAAGAAAATATCTACTAATAAAAATAAAACCTTAGTAGAGAAGTTGCTGAAGCAATTTCTAGATGCTGCCTATTTATAAAATGTACTATTAATATACCCTTATTGCACTGGGGAAATGGTGGAAATTATAAAATGAAGATCATCAGATAGTTTTATATAAAGCGCTGCACAGTGGACTAGAACTGCTTCAAAATTTTCGAATTAAATATTCTACACATAAAACCTAGATAAAAAAGTCTTGAGGCATACAAATCAACTTGTTCACATATTATATTTAAATATTCGTCAAGGTTAGGCGCACTTTGTGACACTGTGCAACAAAAGGACGACAATGACGACGTGTGTGCGTAAATTCATTAGGACACAGATACAGACTTCGACTGCGACTCAGACACAAACGCAGACCCAGACATTGAAGTGGCAATGGCAGGAGGCAGAGATTCGTTTAAGGATACGTACCAAGGCAGCATTTTCTTTATGGCCACAGACGCTCGTTGACAACCCCTTTTTAAGGAGTTGGGCGAGATGTATGGGGGGGGGCAGCCTCTGAGCTCGGGGCTTGCCAAACAATTAGACGCCGAAATATTTATAGGCAAGCAGCTGCGACCCGTGACCCCCAACTCCCAAAGAAAGTCTCTTCTCACGCCCCTCCTCCCGCAAGCAGTGTCCAATGGGACGTTGCCCACTTTTGTGTCATCGAAGCAATTTAAGCAAACCGAATGATAAATTGTTGGAAAATTACGTGCATAAAAAGGCAACCGGCAATGGCCGGAAATTTATGTTTAATAATTTGATGTTGTCGCCCGAGGATTTCGAGGATTTTTTTATGATGCGCCATTAAATGTACACAATACCTCGTCCAAGTAAAAGGGGTTAAGTTCACCCGGAGGCCTCGCCCTGTCGCCAACTCGGCCTATCTGTGAGCCATGCGTTTGACTGTGGCGAGAACCGCGTTTCATCAGCTGCCGTCATGTCATGCCATGATAAATAAGATCTTCTTAGCGCATCCATCGCTCATCAGACGCCCAGGCGAGGAAATGAGTGCGCAAAATGTCAGAGCAAAAGGTAAAATCAGCCAAAAGCATATGAAAACAAGACCAAAATTCAGTCAGTTGTCAGTTCTCACGTCTTCAACAAAACCAGCTTTATCATTGCTATTGTTGAAGCATTAAATAGAATAAAACAATAATGATAAAAAAAAAGTCAAAGAACTTGTACTTTTTCTTTTGTTAAATGCGCATCAAACCAGCTTTTCCCAAGTCTAACTTTATCTTCTTATTTTTGTCGCGTACATTTTTAAAAATTTAGTTTTATACCCCGCAATTATAAAAAGCGGGATTGTAGCTCGATATGCAGCATATCGCACACAGAAATATTTTAGCTCCTTTTCGACAGCAGCCTCCAATTTTCGAAAATTTCGATAGTTATCGACTCTCAGATCCATTTTGAAGCCTTGTAAACATTCGAACTGGTAGCAGAACCAGATATGCAGCTTAATTTGATCAGAACTCAATTTTCAACATTAATACGTTACATTACCAAAAAATCAATAAATATCTATTCTTTGATTTGTTTTCATAACATGTATGAATGGAAAATAGGACTATAGCTAAAAATGCGTCTCTTGTAATTAGAAGTAATTTATTTTCTTTGAATTTTTTTTTAAATTAATATCGATTTTCGTGAGCATATCGCCTTAATAACAACTGCTGGGATTATAAATTTGTTTTTAGCCACTTATAAAGCACTCGACTTTGGCTATTTATGAAGACTTGAATTATTTCTTGCTGAAAAGTTTATAACAATTGGATAATAAACGCAAAAGTTATTGTAGAATGAAAATATGTCCTATTTATTTTAATTGTTTTTTTTTTCTCTTTGTAGGCAAAGCTGAAGCTCAAGTTGTATTTAGAAATCTATTAGTTAGCCATTTTATAGCCAAGCAATTTGAGTTTTAGCTTTTACCGCCAATTGAGTTTTCGCTAAAAACAAAATTGCGTTTTGGGGCCGCGCAATAAATAAAACCGAACTTGATGCAGGCTTTGCTGCCATTTAGTGCTTTGATTAGCGCATACGCTAAAAAATCTTTATGTTTATAATTGGCAGAAGGGTTTTTTTTTCGAATTTTGGCGGCCTTTACGAGCGCGCATATGCAAAATACATAAAAAGTGGCATTTGCAATGAATCGAATGAAATTTTTAATCAATCTCTTGCTTGGAAAAGTGCTTATCGAGACGAACTCTGGCGCTTGTTGGGAAAACTATAAAATTGCTTAATCAATTGAAAATTGCGCAGTCGCCTGTAAATGTCACGTTTGCTCGCCGGAAAAGCCGCCATTTCAACGAAAACAACAAAAGGACGGAAAAATAAAACAAAACAAAATGAAAGTTTTCATTTTATTTTATTTAACGGTGCAAAAACTGTGTCAATGCTGGCAAATTACAATTACAAATTGCAATTAATTAATTAAAAAAAAAAAAATTAAATTGAAATGCAGTTCGATGTAAATGTTAATGCAGATTGACTGGCGGACTGAACGACTGACTGCCCGACAGCTGCTCTTTGATATACTTGTTCGTAAAGCTCGCTTACAAATAAAGCTGACTGATTGACTGACTGAATGACTGACTGAATTACTGGCTGACTGACTCTCCGACTGTCCGACAGCTGCCTTTTGATATACTTGTTCGCTCTAAGCTGACCCTGAACTACTTTGCGGCTTATAAGTAGCAACCATATATATCGTATAAATACATATATATCTATCGTATATATATACGATATATTGAGCTGTGCTTTTATGGCCAACAACAAATGCGCAATAAGTCGATTGCACAACGTAAGTTTCACCCGCAATTAGCTACTGTTCGGTTGTCATTTTAATTGAATCTTCCAATTCTAAAGCTGCATTTAGTTCTAGCTCATTTACGGCTGTATCTGTATCTCAAAGTGCAGTATCTTTAAGTACCAAAACGTAGCTGTTGCCTGTTGTTCAGCTAATTTGATGTTAATCAATCATCAATGTTGCCTTTGTTGTTGCTTTTGTTGCGGCTTCTTTGAGTTGCGTGTTTGCATAGACTGGGGGGTCGTTGCCACCTCGACGTTGGGGCCTGTCTTTACAAATTCTCAACTGAGAAAATCATTCACAAATGTGCCTAGAACTTGGCGGCATGGCGGGCCAGGGGGCCATAGAATTATGCAAAAGCGAAACCGAAGCTGTGGGAAACGTGCAGTGTGCAGAGCAATCGACGAGACTTTGCCACGTCAAAGCAAATGATTTGACATGAGTTCCCATAAAGATATTCAAATACATTTCCGCTAGATCTGAGCAGAATGAAAATTGAATTTGGTTTCCTCTTCAATGACAATTGTCGAAACTCATGACCGCAGCACAGAAATCTTTAAGCCCAAATCAGCAACTGGCAACTGGCAACTAATTAACACGTCTGAAAGCAAAAGTGGCCTGGAAAACAAAAAATGGTGGAAAAACTGAGAAAACACAGTAATGAAAACTTTGCCAGACACACGAAATGGCAAGAGCCAGATGGGTGAGGGGGCCGGCTGGGGTGGGGTTGGGTGGTTCAGCAATGAGGTGCAAACAGAAACTAATTAAATAACGCCAAAAAAGGAATTCGCGCACAGAAAACGAAATGTTTTTTGTTTTAAGTAAATAAATTAGCATAAATATTTTATTTATTTGCTGTATGCTTTCATCTTCATTTCGTGCCTCTACCCCCTACCTTTCCCTCTCTCTTTCTCTCTGTCTGTCTATCCGTCTGTTACGAATGCACTTTTCTCTCTTGCGCAATGGTAATGGCATAAAATTAAAGAAATGCAGCAAATGTAATCGAATACTCTTACACTGAGAGAATAAAAAGCGGAATTCTATACTAAAGTCAAGCAAATATTTTATTCAAACATGATGACTTATTTTAAGATCCTTTTTCAAGATGGAAATTCCTAAGTACTTGACTCAAGAAGAGTATTCAATTTATGAATAGTTCATCCTGCATTTATAATAGAATTAAAATAAGTTCAAGATATCTTAAACTGAAATCATAATTTTTATTTCAGGAAAGTTTCAATTAAGTTGCAAGTAATTAATCTATTACTTTAATAAAGTGCTCAATTAAAGAAAAGTTATATTTGCTCCTAGAAACGGGTTTACTGAAGGACAAAACTTTTTTATTGAT